TGAGTATGGAGTTTGCTCCCTATTTATATACAGTAGCTTGCCCTGCCATTGTTGGTAATGGTATGGTTTTCTCCTTGGTAATTCCTTAATTAGGGTATTGTTTTCTGCTTGATTGATTGTCTGGTGTTAATTTCTCTTATCTGGGTGTTGGCTGCTGGAAAAGATGTATTCTGGTCTTGTTTCCTTCTTAGCTTTTTATTCTCTCTTTTGAATGCTATATAAATATGGTTTATTTCTCTGTGTCTATTGAAATCTGATTTGTGTGAATGCTAGGCTTCCAGGAGTTTCCTAACATTTTTTAATTGGCTTGGTTTAGGATGCTCACAATTTTCCCAGTTAAATTTTGGTTAGTTAACATGTTTTGGAGGACTTTGGTTGATTTGTATGGTATGTGATGCCATGTGGTTGCAATAATCTGTTGGTTGTTTCTGAGATGTTTTTGATATATGACAGTATTATCCTTTTCATAGCTTGTGTTTGTTCTGCTATAGTGAATGTAGTGGTCTGGACTTTTTGATAAAGTTGCATGGGTGCCCATTTTGTTGGAAGACATATAAGTGATCTGTTTCCTTTTTCTGATGTTCCAGGTTGCTGCAGTGCATTAGTTCTCATCTGAATAATGTTCTTACATGGTTTCTCTTGTGGGAATTTGGGTTGTTACTTTGGTAATGGAGCACTTAATTACTGTGGATTGTTTTCAACAGATTTCCATTTCTAATTTCTCTTCTATTGGAACATAAAAATATATAATCCAAATACCTCAGAGACTGACAATACAATACACATCTAGACATTCCCTGGCAAGGAAGAACTAGATAATGTTATCAAGTCTCAAAGTCCTGTTGAAAAAAACCCCTGGTCTTTATGTCTTTTTGAAAACTAAAGAATGTGGGGGTCAATCTAATCTCTGGCAGAATACTGTTCCAGAGATGGTGAGGCAGCAACTGAGAAAGCTTTATTTCATGAACCCTATTGATGACATTCCCTATGTGAAGGGGCCTGGAGAAAATCTTTTCTTCCTGATCTTAGTGGGCAGGCAACAATCACTGGAAGTAGGTATTCCTGAAGCTATCCGGTTGATGTATAACAGGGGTGTCAAACTCGCAACGTCATGTGTTGCGACGTATCGTGGCTTTTTTTCCATTACTGGCAATGGGATGGGCGCAGTTTTGGCATGACGCATCCAGCCTGTGGGCCGGCAGTTTGACACCCCTGATGTATAACTTCCCAGGCTGAGCTGGAGATGTTTTGTAAGTTTTGATTCAGTGTCCAGAGGCGGTGGAGGTCTAGAATTGTACAAACCAGCTCAAACTAACTCTTACAAAGGTTGAATTGCTGCCTATCTGGAAACTAACTCAGAGGCAGTTCCAAGGTTAGCTATAGATAGGGTCACCTTTCATATGAAGAAGCAAGTCTACAACTTGGTGTCTTCTTAGACTCATGCATTCTCTGAAATACCAAACAGAAACCATGGCCTTTGTTCAGCTGAGAGTGACACCTGGAATACTGCATCCAGTTTTAGTCACTATGTTACAAAAAAGATGTTGAGATTTTAGGAAAAAGTGCTAAGAAGAGCAATTAAGATGATTAAAGGCCTGGAGACTAAAACATATGAAGAACGGTTGCAGGATTTGGGTTTGACTAGTCTAGAGAAAAGAAGGACTAGGGGTGATGTGACAGCAGTATTCCAGTATTTGAAAGGTTGCCACAAAGAGGAGGGGGTCAACTTATTTTCCAAAGCACCACAGGGCAGGACAAGAAACAATGGATGGAAACTAATCAAGGAGAGAAGCAACCCAGAATTAAGGAGAAACTTCCTAATAGTGAGTACAATTAATCAGTGGAATGAGCTTGTCGTTGGAAGCTGTGGATGCTTCATTACTGGAGGTTTTAAAGAAGAGACTGGACAATCATTTGTCTGAGATGGTATAGGGTCTCCTGCTTGAGCAGTGATTTGGACTACAAAACCTCTAAGGTCCCTTCCAGCTCTATTCTGATTGATTTGCCAGTTTATAATCCTACTTGAACCATGAAACCCTGGTAATTGTAACTCCTATCTTCATCACATGTGATTTGATTAAAGGAAAATTCTCATTTATCAACCACACCTGGATTAGCAACTCAACTTTAATGGCTGTGCTTATGATCTTATTGTACTTCAGGTTTCCTTTGCTGAGTTGCAAAGGCTGTAAATGTGAGAACTGTTACAAGGTTACAATTACCATTGTAACTGTGAACAGTTGCTCTACAAGGAACATGCTAAACAAGGACTAGATGTAATGTCAAATACACTGTAAATACCAGTAACTGCCCTTGAAAGTGGTCCAGAAATTTCACTTGGTATAAAATGTGGCCAGGAGGAGAATCACTATTGTGATATGACATCTATTTTTCTGTATCCATGTTAGAATTCCATTCAAAGCACTTCACTCCAGGATAATTTAGGGACTGTTCATTCCAGGTAAAACCTGCTCAGCCTAGGTAAGGGACATACAAGGTGCAGTCCCTGAAAGAAATCAGGGGACACAGACCTAAAGGACTTATTACTCTTGAATGAACCCCATTCTTTTAGCATTCTTTGCCCCCAAGGTGAGTATGGCACTCTTGTTACTGATTTTTTTTTTTGCAAAGCTGTTAAGACATTGTTACTTGGTTTTTGGGGTTGATTGTCATTGAGTTTTGGATTTTTATGACTAGGATAGTTTACTTGCTGGTAGTGACTGTTTTGATACAATGTATTGTGTTGATTTATCTATTTAACTTAATTTTAATCATTGTCAACAGTGAAGGTTGACATATACTTGCAAATAAATAAATAGAGGGAATATTATTTATTTAGTTTATATAAATTTATATAATTCTTTTACATAAATATGACTTTGGAAGAACATTATTAGTATAATCATGGTCTTGGTAACTTGGAAGCAGCCATGTCAACAGAAACATAATGTGCAAGCATCCCACAGCACTACTCACATTTTTAAAACTAGGTGACCAATTCTAATCACATAGTTCATATCAAGCTTTTATTTCATCTAAAGCAATGATAGGTTCCCATGCTGAAATGTCTTCTCCCCCACCCCATCATTGATGGATTTAATATACTTGTAGTACTGGATCTATATGATACCTCATAAAGACTAAAATTAAGTTTAAACACAATCTGACTGGAAAACTGATACTGTACCTTATCTTCTGTATATAATAGAACAGTAATCTCAAATGCTGTGAATATACTGGTTGTGTCATTTCTTGTACTTTTATTTTATTGCCCCCGTGTTTAAATGTAGAAGGATATTTCTGAAATCTTGTATCATGCATGGAACCTAAGAATGTAAACAAACAGTATCATATATTGACCTGAACAAATGCAATGCTCTTGGAAAGCTGAAAGTACAGGATAACATAGAGCAAATAGCTGTGTATGATGACATAGGTTGTTAGAACCTTTATAGTTTGTTGTTCAGTTGCTTGACATATTTTTATATATTTAATCAATTCCTATAGCCTTCCAGTTGAGTAATGAGTGAAGTACTGATCTAATTTCATTCTCTAGCATTAGACATTCAGATAAGCAAGACACATTTTCTAGGGTATCTTGGATGTTAATATCTCTAGTATACATAATTTCACTACATTCCTTTAGTCCTTGTTTGATCTTCCTTGAATCAATTGTTACAGATAGTCCTCAACTTAAGACCGGAATGGAGTCTGAATTTCCATAGTAAGTAATGAAGGCTGTAAATCGTAACTCAAGGTACCCATGTGACCAAAGTTGATTTTAAATTTTTTTGCAGCAACTGTTAAGCAAATTTGGCAGTCATTAAGTGAACCCAGCAGTCATTAAGTGAATACACCAGTCATTAAGCAAATCCATGTATTCCTGTGGGTATTTTTTGCTGGAAACAGGCAAAAAACATTATAAATCCCAATAACCTGATTGAGAAAACTGCAACTGGCAGTAAATATGAGCTAGTTGCCAAGCACCTGATATGCGGTCATGTGACCGTGGGGCACATACAACTGTCAGATCTCTGGATGTGGTAAATAGCTTGGGGAGGGATGTCTGTTGTAACTTCAAATGGTTGTTAAGCGATCAGTCATTAAGCAAATTATCTACCTCATCTTTTCTTCAAAAATTCTGTTGTTTGTTCTGACATCTAGTTTGCTTTCTTCCGTTTTTTCGTCTTTCATCGTTTCTCTTTCACATTTATCCTTCCTTAACATCTTCTTTAAGCTTATTCATAGTTTCTCTTGTTCCCAATCAATCAAGTTCAGGATTTCCTGATGTTCTCCTTGCAAATGATGAATATATAGTGAAGATCATGCCATGGAAATTGGTTGGCTTTCTTGGAACTTGCATGTGATCAATTTGTGATCTGTTCCACAGTCAGCCCCTGGCCATGTTTTTGCTTTTATAACTGAACTCTTCTACTTCCTTCTCTCGATAATATGGTCAATTCCAATAATAGATTAATTCCACTTTTGTAATAGACAAAACTTTAAGGATGTTCCCTGAATGAACTGATTCAAGGTCAAGCTGTGGAGGAACTAGAGGAATCCCATGCCTTTTTCTTTTTCTTCAGAGGACCACGGGATGCCGGTTGTGTGTGCATACTTACAGACATTAACATTAACTAAACGCCCCCCCACCCCGACAAAAAAATACCAGCCCACCCTCTTCCTTTCGAATGGATTCGGCTCTTCTGTCCCAGGAGAAGCGAGGAAAAGAATCGGCCCATTTACAATAAAGGGAGGCGAAAGTTGGCGGTGAGCAAGGAAGGTTAGCATGCGGGAAGAGGAGAAGGAGGAGGAGTTAATGGCTCGGACGCCTTGTTGCTATGGGGAGACAGAGGGAGGAGGTGGCTCCGCCGCTGCTATTGCTGCTTCGCAGGGCAGGGAAAGCCAGAGGCGGCGACGCTGCTGTTCTGTGACACATTTCCCATATTGCTGCTACTGCTGCCATATTGTGCCCCCATCCTCTCTCCCCCACCCCCCCACCCCATGCGCCTGCTTCATGAGTACAGTGAGTTGGAATGTTTCCTTTATTAACTATTTCTGGGGAAAGTGGGCGGGAATCAAATATTTCTTTTCATTTCCCTCCTAATTTGGGATTGTCTGTTCTTTCCATTTATTTGTAACTTCCAAATCTTTAAATGCTAAGTTCTAGCTGGTCTTTCTCTCTTTTTTCCTTTTCCCTCCTTTTTTTTAAAAATAAATATTTCCAGATGTGGGGCTAAGATGTGTGCGAGGAAGACGCCGCCTGAGCTTTTTCTTCCCTCGGTTGCACAATGTGAGCTGGGTAACGCCGAGGCTTAAATTGCGCCGCTGGCGTCCTTGCGTGTCTCCGCGCGCTCCGGCTAAATGTTTAATTCGGGCAATGGGTGGAATCGAGCAAAAGCTGCAAATGGGGGGGGGGGGGAAGGTGATCGGGTCGAGCGTATGTTAGAAGAGTCGAAGATCTGCGTAAATTGGAGTTTGTACCTCCAGAGGCTCTTATTTGTTCATCTGGGAGGAAAAATATTTGCATGGCCAAGGCAGAGCTTTGTGCCTTCTTGCTGGGGGGGGGGGGGGGGGGAGGAGGAGGAGGAGGAGAAGAAGGTTAAGTATTTCAAAGGAAGCGACTTAAAAGAAAGAGGGGTCGCTTTCCACCAGCTTCGAAGTAGGGCTTCTTCCAGCCAGTTTTGCAGAGGCCAAAGGTTGGGGAAGAAGGACTTTCGGTTGACTGGCAGTTAGCATTTGCATGGGGAGCAATCGGTCTGCCCGACGGCTCAAATGGGACGCGGGGGAGAAGTGAATTTAAACGAGAAAGGCGTGTGAACAGGCTAGAAAGGCTTGTTTTGTGAATGTAAGGGAACTACTGGAGACGATTGTGCCTGTTGATCGAAGAACAATATCCTAGAAATATAGCTGGTAATGTCTGTGCATTGATAAGGACCTGCTGCGAGTTGTACTCCGGAGGCGTTGCGGCGTCTATTCGAGGGGAGACTTTTACGGCTTCGAGAGTAGGCAGGCAGGCGTGTGGGGGGGGGTGAGTTTCCGTGGGGGAGGCTTTTCCGCGATCAGGGATTGGCTTTAAGACTCTGGGGACTCCTTCGGGCTGCTCGGCTGTCGCAAATACCACCTTTCTTCTCCCCCTGGACTTGGCGTTGCTCTCGTGGGAGACCGCTGCCATGTGGCTGTTCCTTTCCTCTACGGACGGTCATAATAAAGAGGGGGAAGGGAAACGCTTGAGCAACTGCGGAAATGGTATATCCTTAAAACAACCCGGGAGGAAGGAAAAGCTTGTCAGTTTTCTTCCGTGTGAAGTTGTACGGCAAAAAATCTCTCGACCAGATTGCAGAAAACTTATTAGCTCTTGGAAGTTGCGTTTCTTCCAGTTTAAAGTAGGGTTTCCCCCTCCCCCCCTCCCTTGTCATCGGTTGCGATTTGTTTAGTTCCGCCAGTTTGGCTTCCCCCATTTTGGTTGAGGCTGTGACAGCCACGTGGCCGGCAAAGCCTTGCGCAGGGAGAGGCGGCCATGGGGTCACACGGGCGACTGTGGGAGCGTGTGGCTCTGTGTAAGCAGCTCAACACAAAGCCAGGCACACAGAGTAGAGCTCCTCCTCCTCCTCCTCCTCCAGGGGAGCTTAAGAACAGGAACCCCCTCCATGCGATCTCTGCAATATTGCATCAACCCCTCCTCCCTCTGTGCCGTTTTTCTTCGCTTCCGGCTACTAAAAAAATACAGTAATGCAAACTCTTTATTTATAAAACTGAATTGAAGTGCACAAAACAAACTTGCACCCGTTTCGTTTTGATTGTGCAAACGGGTAGAAAGAATAGTAATCTCCCTTTGAAAATTGTTAACTGCACAATTGCAAACATATTTGAAATGTTTAGAAAATACGTCCTCAGTTTTAAACACACTTTAACCCCCATCTCTCTGTGTATGAAATAGAGAACTTAGTGAAACAATGGTCTACTATTGTTCTTTTCTAATAGTCCTGAACATGAAAGGGGAAAACAATCTACTGTAAGCCATCTGAAGCCATTTCTGCAAATTGGAGGTTGTTGCATTGTTGTCTAGAAGATGCTAGTATTCTTCCCTCTTCCACAAATATTTTATTTTGCAGGTGAAAGGCATGTATGTGTATCTGCTCTTTTAAAATACATGTTATATTAAAATACATTGTTCTTTTAACGTATCAGCACAATTTATGTGTTGTTCAACCCAAATACGGTTCTAAGCAGTTTACCATTTACTTACAGTTGTGTTTATTTTTATTGTATTTGTGATGAAAAAATTGCAGCATTTTTGTAGAGATCAGTTAGTTTGAATCAGAAAACACAGTTGAGAATAGTTCAGTGACATATTTTTAATGTGCCCCCTCACAGTAATTAGTTACTGTATTAAACCATTAATTTTAATCTCTGATGTATTGAAATTTAATAATCTCAAAAAGCAGTTATACTTGAGAATTATAGCATATTTGCACAGGTGTAAAAGGGCACCAATGGGAGAAGGCTGAACTAGATACACAGCATTAAATTTCTTTACAGCTTAAATATCTAACCTGGGTAGTGAGAAAGTGGGAATATGTCTTCCCATATTGAAATATGGAATGTACTTCTAAAACAGTGTACTTAGTGCCACAGTTTAGGAAGATGGGAAAAACTTTCACTAACCGTTTAGCAACTATTCATAATGATAGGATTTAATTTTGGCTTTGATTTTAACTGCATTTTGTTAGGATGTTCTCTATTATTGAAAACCATCTTGAACATTGGAATAAATAAAATTTTTGAATACATTTACTAAATTTAAGTACTAAAGCTCACTTTTGCAAGAATTTGGTTACCCTTCTCAATTTCCGCTACAGCCCATCAGAAGGAAAAAAAACTTTGTATAATTCATAAGTTCTTTCTTTCATTACAGATTATTAGATGATGTTCTTTTCAGCTGACTTGTATTATGTCACTTATGAATGAGGGTTTCCTCTATAAAGTTTGTTATGATCTCTGCCAACAAGTATTGTACTATCCGACTACCTTGTTTGTAATAATAATGAGTATTAATGGCAATCTTTAAAGGAAGGGTTGGCATTTGTTGCAAACTCAGTTTATATCAAAATGATGGCACGTTTGCAATGACTATATGGGAAATAATCCACCTTATACATCTGTATCCTGTTTTTTAATGTAATTTGCGTCAAGACTGCATGTTTTGTCATTCATTCCCCCCTCTCCTCTTTGTGATTTGGAACTGTCCTTTCTGATGTTGATAAACTACAATTCTCAATATCTCTTCACTTACAGCCTTGTTGAGTGAACTGATGGAGTTGTGATTCAGCAACATATAGAAAATCATAATTTTCTGCTTATGTTCTTGAGAATAGTGTGTATATTGCTATGCAAAGTTAACATAGGCCAAAACATATGTACATGCTGATTTTTTCACTAGAAAATTCAAACCGTCTGGGTGATATGGACTAGATTTTATTCAGGTCTTTTACTACACTCAAATGAAGACTAATGAAACCATTATCCTTTCCAAATCTTGTTTTTTAATGAGGTTGGAGATGGATAGGTTTAGATGGGCACACAAGAAGTAAAGGTAGAGCCAGCACACACTTAGCCCCATATTCTCCAATCATAGTTTACATGCCCTGTTTGAATCTTAGTGCTTCACCAGTGCTAATATGGAAAAAGTTCCTTGAAGATAAAAAGTTTTAAAATCACATGGACAAATTGACAGTAATTGTGTAGAATGTAGATAACATCCCAAAAGCTTTTTGCAGTGCTGTATGTATCCATTCAAGTGTGTTCCATTGAATTCAAAAAAGCAATTAAGTATGCATAAGGCTGCACATCCAAACTGTTTTGAATCGTAAAAATCTATATTCTTCAAAGGGAACAAAAATCCCTGTTGTAATAGGGAAATGGACAATTGTGCAGCACACAGGCAATGTGTTCTTAATAAGTACTAGAATTTGGAGCAGAGGAAATGCCAGGAGAGCAGTCATGACCTTGTATTGGAGTTTTTCTTACCTTTATACATTACATTGTCCAATATTTCAACTCCATCTAGACACAAAGTAAACTGGCAGGCAGTTTACTCATATTGTCTTGATATGTTTGATGCATTTGAGCCTGTAATTCTGAACTACTTACATTACTGTTCCTAGTATCTTGACAGGATCTTTTGCATTTTCACAGTCAACGTGATCTTTCCCTAAAAGAGAGAGAGATTTTATTAGGCAAAATGACATTGTTTTCCTTCCTCAGGCAGAAAATCTGAACGAAGTTACATAATATCAGAACTGTACATAGTTGGGCATAAAAGGATTTAAGTTTCAGAGGGCCAATATAATTTTTAATAGCCTAGTATCTATTCTGCTTGCTCATTGTGAAATATAGGTTGAAATTATGTTTTCATTCCACTTTGAAACTGAGGGAATCAAACATCTGGTTGGCTATAATACAGTAGGTAGTTGTAAACCAATCGTAAGTTATTCCATGTTATGTTGTAATATGAGATCTTGAATCAACGTCCATGCCTGCCACATAAAGTTAAATTAATTACCCTTTGTAATTGTTCCCTTTTTAATCTGAAACAAAATATGGTATAGTCCGCTCTCAGAGCTATTTGGCCTTGCAAGTAGGGTTTGTAGGGCCTCAAACAGTTGCAGTGATTTGCTCTATAGGAAATTAAAAGGGGGTAAGGCTTTTGGAACGGTTCTTACCTAGTTAGATAAGAGGTTGAAAAATGGGGACAAGTTGCTCTTGCTCACTATTCTTGCTTCCCTCTGCATTTTAGGACTATTGTAGTATAGACTGCTTGCACTTCACAGAGTTCACTGTTTATTAGGTTTGATATTACACAGGGAGCTCCCATGGAAGTAGAAGTCAACAGATATTTTCCTGGATTATGAGGAGGGGGGAGAGTGTTTTCCTCTTTATGTGCAGAACTAAAGCCACATAGGCTGTAGTGATCATCACTGAGGATGAGGGATGATTTTCCAATTTGTCTGGCATGCTGACCTA